ATGTCTTGTAGCGCACATCAATACTAGAACGATGACGTATTCAATTAACAGATTTTGTATTGAACGAAACATCCAGTGTGAGTTCTAAAAATATACAAAAACTAAGTTATGAAATAGGTTGTTGAATAAATCTTTCTTAAAACCTCCACATGAAACAAACATAAAATATTAATAGTATCTTTTGGTTATTAGTGTAAATAATATACAACCATCGTTTTCAGATAAAGTACTATGTTTAGGGCTAAATAAGTGCCTTTTTTAACGGTAGTTTAAAGTAACTACTGTACATGGAAAAGCTTATGAAGAAAACTCATCTAGCCAACTTGACAGAAGGGTTTCCATAATTTTCTACAAATCCGTCTACTTAATCTATTTGTGTGAAATATACGTGCTACCAGTAATACTACCGTAGTTTTTATAGTAATCCCGTTAACAGTAACATTATGTGTTATTACATTAATCACTGAGTGTTTCCATCATTACCAAGCAATTCATCGTAAATTCGAGTTGAACGATAATAATCACTCACTATTCCGTGTTATTTTTAATGTCTGTCTACTATAGATAAAAAATAATTTATGACAAGGCAATTGTAATTTAGCTTATGATTAATTTTACCCTTATATGAGCCTTACATGTGCCAGTTGTTGGATATTTCTCACTAATTTTCTCAAACTATCATCACAATGATTTAAAACTATTTGTGACATAAATGAAACATTGAGATATTTTTGTATACTACTTAATCTGGAAGTAGTTAAGATTATAGATTGCTTCTAGTTAGACAGTCATTGGAAACTTGAAAGCATACAACAGGTGTTTCTCCTTACTAATCCTCTCGAAGTACTGCTTGACCAGAAATCGAACTCAGTATCTGTAGTCTCCCAGGCGAGTGCATAAGCTGATAATCGTCCCACCAATTAACATGATTGAATTTTACCAGTTATTGGATCAATCAAACACATGATATTAAAATCTCATGGTGAAAAAACACTGTCAATAACCGATAGTCAGAATGATTACATCATTTAAGTTATTACCAGTAATTCCACTAAATTCTATCTGATAAGTATGAATTCTATCACCTTTGTGTATATAACAACTGTCAGCAACAAAAACATCAACATTCTATTCTGTTCGAGATATCTATTAGCTGATGAAAATATTTAGGGATTACAATGATTAGAATTATATCGATTTATTATTTGTGATATTCAGTATTTATTTGCTCGACAGTGTTTAAATGTATAAATAACTACTGTTCGTTCAAATCCTACGTTTGACACAACTTAGTTTTCGTATGTCAATATATATGTGGAGACAATATATTCTTGTTTGAGTTATAGTTATGACAGTGTTAAATGGTAACAGAAATTAAAACAATTGAAGATCATTGATTAAAAGAAAGGTTTAAACGAGATTTTTCAACAAATATTTTATTTACAAGTCTAGCTAATCGAATTATAAATATATATTCACAAACCAAAAATATGATATTTCTCTTCAGAACTAATTTCTTTATTAGCAAAGATGGGCAATAACTGGCAATGAAATCCATGACGCACATCTCGTCCTATCTGGGACTCGTCAGCTGAATGTACCTACATCTTAGAGTTGATGTTCACTCTGGGACTCGAACCCACTACCGTTCGCTTCAAACGCCATCACGATATCCACCTATCTACTGAGTTCTGATAGCCACTTGCTTGTGCAATGGTGTGAAGTTTTAAAATCACCTGGTGTTGTTTACTTGTAAAGCTTATAAAGCTTGTGACCTAAGACAATATCGAGGCAGTCCTCACAGGATGCACATATGCCAACGCGAGGCTGATCAGTTGCAGTCCTAAATAAAAATGGGAAGATAAAGTAAAAAACACCAAGTGAATTTATAATTTCTTTATTGATTTCGAAGCAAAAGCAATAGAGTATAAATGTATAAATGAATTGGAAATTATCATCTAATTAATGAATAATCTTGTTCAGAGAAAATGGGTTTTTTTCAATAGAATTATTATTGAAGAAAATATGAATATTTGCAACCTCTGTATTGATTTAGATAATTTCGGATAAAAACACTAACTCTTAGTGAAGATTATTATCAGATCTTTTATCAAGACTACTAAGATGGAACTCAGTGGTTCATCTATTCCAGTTTTTTATTAATCCACGATAACTCAATTTGAAGAAGTCTACATAGACAACAGAACTAAATGATAATCGTATACTCATTTGTAATTAACTTTGAATTCTTTGGTGTAGTTTTATTGGGAGTTCATAACTTATGGAGTCAAATAAATAGAGATTAGGGTGGCTGAATGAAAATCTGTCTACGTCATGTTTTGATAGAATTTGTAAATTGAGTCCTGAAGGTTTCATTTAATGAATTCAATCCCATTGTATTTTTTGTGAGATTTGATGATCTTGAATACAATCTTGTGAATGGTTGTGGAGGTTGACTGCTTAAGAGTTCCGAGCTAGAACAAGGCTATCTAGTGTTCAATAGTTTCCTTACATTTTGTAGCTGATGTTAATTCGTGGTTACATTTATTTCTAACTAAGAATGTACACTTGAAAGCTAAATTAATAAATCACTTGTGTGAACAATATTTTGTTGAATCTTTATACCAAAAGTGGGAAAAACGCAGAGGTTAGTGTTATAAAATAAGTTAAAACTCAATATGACCTAATTTTTTGAAATTTTAAAAGCATTCAAACTAATTTATGCTAATTGAATTTCAGATGTCCCGTACTCTCATTGGTTTAGCTTTTTTCCCAAAACATGAACTTATGTTTGAACGAAAGTTATGCTTCAATAGAATCACTGTTTTTTTTAAAAAATACAATCACATAACCATGTCATGTTAATGTGAAAAGTATCAATATCCGTCGTTTGAATCTGATCCAAATTTGTGGATACCATTAATCAGTTAACCTCTCAGTCGTTAAACACTCAAAACTCAGATGAAATATGGCCTCCATTTGACGGCATGGTGACATTTAGAAATTCCAAATATTGATGATCTAATTTCAGTCTAATTTTACTGCGATTGGAATATGCTACCAATCATCATGGAGAATGAAAACTTCTAAACACTATAAAAATTAATTTACCAAAAATTTGAATTATTTAGTCCACAGTAAGAGATAAAATATGTTCCTTAGCCGTAGAAACATTTACATGGAATGAAAATATAAAAGCAGGTACCGAAAACAAAATTTAAACTAAAAATGTTCAAGAAAAACCTACGGTATGGATTCAGTCAATTTGGAACTTTAACACTAGAATCAATATTAGCTATCAAACTGTCCAAATCTCCTACTAAGAAGCTGTTCATTTCAAATAACTGTATCAAGTTCTTTTATTAGAAGCTCTCAACTCAATGTATAAATAACAAACTAACATATTCGATCACATTGGTATACGATTTACACTTCGTATTCTTGGAGCTGATTGTACCTTAACTCATAATTCTAGATGTAATAAATTTGGGCTAGATCCTTTATGGAAGAGGAAACTCAAACTAAATTTAATCTTTTTCTTCAAACTACTTAATAAACTCTCCTTTACGTTCAATCACGTGATTCAATATGCAGAAACTTCTCATTATGACATCCGTAATTCCTTGGCACTAGGGAAACAAACTTATTCTAAATCATCTCTTTGTATGAATTACTTCACCTGTAAACTTTCTAGACTCTGGAATAATCTACCACAATCTATCCGTACGATAAAATCACTCCCATTATTTGTTCGCTGCATCGACACATACTGCTCTTCTGAAAATGCATTGAATGTTCCAGCACCTGTAAGTGTATCTCATTCCACAAGTGATATTATAGGAACTTTAAATGTTTAGCCATCTTTATTAGTGCATTCCCCAAGTAAAACCACCTACTTGCTGTCACTTTATGTTAAGCAATTTGAATAACATCAACAGTATATCACTGTGTCACATGACACACGCATTTTGGTAGACTTGATTGACATATTTTGGTAATTACTGCTTTGTTTTTCTGTGCTTTGTGTTTTCGTTTTAATTTCTCTAGTTGTAGATAATTATCATTAATTCGATCTGGCACATGAAATGACCTTAATTACTCCGTTCATAAATCAACAGGCTGTTCATTTAAGAAATATTAAAAAATTCCCGATTGGTGCATTGGATCTCTGTAATATATGTACTACTTAAACAACTACTGAACTAGTATACTTAAAACTTTCTTCTATTACATGTTTGTTCTGTACATTTAATGTTACTATTTATATCTTATTGATCATGCCTGTAAACTGGCGTGAATTCTGTAATTATTATTTTCAGAATATATAAATTATTATTATATCGTCTTTGAAATTCCTTCATAATCTTCGAACAAGTTGATAGAAATCTTTAGTTGTATTCTCTAGATAAATAGCATGTACGTTCAAAAATCTATAAATGATTATATTTTATTTGTATCACTAAAACACAAAGCGTTCGATATAACTGAACACTAAAATAATTAGCCACAGCAAATTAAATGATAATTTCAATGAAAAAAAATCAAAAGCCTTTATTGTTAATACGTAAGTGAACAAAAATGATACTGAATGAAAGAAATGGTTTGAATAATGATATAACCGATGTCGAATCCTTTCAAATAAGAACGTTTATTTAACCTTGATGAAGGAGGTAACAGAAAGCCATAGCACTCATTTCTATTCGAAGCTATGACTGATCACGCCTCAATACACTGAATTACATGACCTCTAGAATTCTAGCCACGATAAATCAACAGTTCTCAGCTCCATTCACCTACTTTTCATGTCATTGTTCAGCGCCATAACCTGTTCAAAACCTCGATTTTCTTTACCCACCTGTAGAGTCGTGAAATAATATACAGTGAGAAACCCACTATGAAAATAATCACAGCATATGTCTAAGCCGATATAGGAAGGGATTGAAAAACAGTCACACCAACTAAATTATCATCAATGTGCCCGAGGATACATTGCTGCATCTATGCATCATTCACATAGTACAGAAAGTGCACAACTCACGGAAGAAGATAATGATGATGATGATGATGATGATGATGATGATGATGATGATGATGATGATGATGATGATGATGATGATGATGATGATGATGATGATGATGATGATGATGATGATGATGATGATGATGATGATGATGATGATGATGATGATGATGATGATGATGATGATGATGATGATGATGATGATGATGATGATGATGATGATGATGATGATGATGATGATGATGATGATGATGATGATGATGATGATGATGATGATGATGATGATGATGATGATGATGATATTCGGGCTCAACGAATTCACACAAACCCTTAATTTGGATGTCTCCAAATATACTTCAAACAGTTTGTGCATGACACGAAAGAACAATTATGTGTCTATAGGACATTGACGGTTCAAAATCTCTTTATTTACTTACAATAAAGAACAAAAGTTTACATATTCCCCTTTCTAAAACACTTTTTTTAACAAATATTTCCATTTCTTCACTTTGTTTTAGACACATTTTTCCTTGAGCAAACTTCTAATGCCATATATTATTATCGTTATTTCGATTAATTTTATAAACTAATATAAATAAATCCTAACAGAAAATTCATTTAAACCAGTATTACGTAATACATTGATTTGTAAATGCAACTAATCAGATTTCATTAACCTATTCTCAAGTTCCTTAGAAATAAAATAATAATGTACGTTAATTCATTCTATGGCCTAGAATAATGCGACAATTTCTTATTCTTTCTCCCCGCTTTGTTATTTTACTTGAACTTTTATTTAATTGACCTTTATTAATTTTCATATAAAAATGCCTTGACAAGTATATGTGTGACCAGATTGTTCGAAATGCATAGCGCAAATACATCACATTTTTCAGATCAACTCCGTCTTCTCATTGTTCTATCAAAATAATGTATTGCTTACTTTACACCTTATTGTACTGTTGATATGTTATTGTTATTTTTTTTATTTGTCATTTTTTGCTTTGGATACCTCTTTCTCTTACAGTTACATAATTCTTTCGCACGAATTCTCACTCTTGGTTAAGTTTTATTGACAAAAAAAGAAAGAAAAACTAATAAAATTTCTAGTCATTTTGACAGGTGATAAAATGTTTGTTAGATTAAACAACAACAACAAGAAAACAATTAGTATAAATAAGAAATAATTACTCAAGTAGAAATTTAACAAATTAATTTACAAATTACTATTTGGTATTTTCTAGTTTGTTTGTTTTTTGACAAGATTATTATTGTTAGTTAATTTGTAAACATTTATCAGTATGGGGTTTTGCAGATTATTATGTTTTTGATTGAGATCATGAATCGATTAATGCTAGAACACCATTGAAAACCTGGATGCACTGGACAACCGTTTCATTCTATTGTGAGACTGCTCAGTAGTGACCATCCATAATCCCGCACAAGGGATTTGAACCCAGGACCTTCGGTCTCGCATGCGAACGTTTAATCTCTATACCACCGAGCCGGTACCCAACAGTGTTAATATCTATCCTCAACCAGTCTACGAAGTTGCGTAACTATCTCCGATTTTACTGAGGTAGATACCTATCTCAAGCTCCACTGGTCACGACTTCACACTAGAACTCCGAGAATTTTCCCACGAAGCTAGTCACTAATGAGCACATAGTAATTATCAGTATAGGATTGTAGAGATTATTCAGTTTTTGATTGAGATCATAAAATCGATTGATGTTAGACCACCAATGAAAACCTGGAAGCAGTGAACGACCATTTACTTGACTAAAATTATTGAAAATAAAAATTAAATTCTGTAGACAACGTTTGTTTCTGTTTCGTTTTGTTTTGATTTTAGCTAGAAATGTGTTATTTTAGCCATTATTTTTTTAATTTTTTTAAAGTTATTAAATTATTTCCTGCTTTAGTTAAAGAGATTCTAAAATGATAAAGGGAAAACACACTCTTCAATGAGTTGTGTTTTCTTTCAAAGGAAAAAAGCTTTTTTTTCACTCAGATTGTAATGTAAAATGAAATAATCTAACAATCAATAAAAAGTGTGATACATTTTTTTTCAAAAAATATTGATTTTCTTTGAATGATACTGAAAATCTCAAAGTGCATTAGTCCTAGTAACAAGAAAAAAAATGTATGACTGTTCAAAAGAACCATAGTATTATCATCCTTGTATAAAATGTCATTAATTTTTTTTTGGAAATAATTATCGATTTCTGTAACAATGTTCAATTAAATATTAAAGATTTATAAAATTGAGACAGTTACTTTGAAATGAATCCTTAGAAAGATTTATAGGTATGATAATACTCAAATCTACAAGTTGATAAAGTGAGATAATTCGAAGTACAGACTAAACAAACAGAAAAACAAAAGATACAGATGATTTACAATTAATGATTAATGGATTATTTAATTTAATTTACAAAAATTGTTTCATATCACTTACTTTACTTACTTACTTACTTATTTACTTACTTACTTACTTACTTACTTACTTACTTACTTACTTACTTACTTACTTACTTACTTACTTACTTACTTACTTACTTACTTACTTACTTACTTACTTACTTACTTACTTACTTACTTACTTACTTACTTACTTACTTACTTACTTACTTACTTACTTACTTACTTACTTACTTACTTACTTACTTACTTACTTACTTACTTACTTACTTACTTACTTACTTACTTACTTACTTACTTACTTACTTACTTACTTACTTACTTACTTACTTACTTACTTACTTACTTACTTACTTACTTACTTACTTACTTACTTACTTACTTACTTACTTACTTACTTACTTACTTACTTACTTACTTACTTACTTACTTACTTACTTACTTACTTACTTACTTACTTACTTACTTACTTACTTATTTACGCCTGTTACTCCTCGTGAAGGAACATAGGCCAACCACCATCATTCTCAATCCAACCCTGTCCTAGGCCATTCTTTCCAGCTCCTTCCAATTGTTATTCATCTTTTTCATATCTGCTTTTATTTCCCGACGTAGTGTGTTATTTGGCCTTCCTCTTTTCCGTTTTCCTTCAGGATTCCAAGTTAGGGCTTGCCTCGTGATGCATTTTGGTGATTTCTATAATGCATGTCCTATCCATTTCCATCGTCTTTTCCTAATTTCTTCTTCAGCTGGAAGCTGGTTTGTTCTCTTCCACAGAAGGCTGTTGCTGATGGTATCCGGTCAACGGATGTTGAGTATCTTGCGTAGACAACCATTTATAAATACTTGTACCTTCTTGATGGTGGTTGTTGTGCATGACCAATCCTTACGGAATCCAGCTTGTTGATCTCGAAGTTGGGCGTCTACTGCGTCATTCATCCGGCTCAGCAATGCTCTGTTAAAGACTTTCCCTGATACTGACAGTAGTGTGGCTCTGTAGTTTTCACATTTGCTCAGGTCTCTTTCCTTTGGAATCTTGACGAGGTGTCCTCCTTTCCAGTCCATCGGCACTTGTTCCCCCTCACAAATCTTTTTGAATAGAAGGTGAAGCATGTTTGTAGTTACTTCGATGTCCGACTTCAGTGTTTCAGCTGGTATGTTGTCGGATCATGCTGTTTTCTCTCTCTTGATTTGTCTGACGGCCATTCTAATTTCTTCCGTCGTTGGTGGGTTGACATCTATAGGAAGATCTGTGTGTGTTGCTTCGATGTCTGGTGGATTAATTGGAGCCGGCTTATTCAGGATTACCTCGAAGTACTCTATCCATCTGTTCCGCTGTTGTTGAATTTCAGTGATTGGCCTGCCCTCTTTGTCCTTTACCGGTCTCTCTGGTTTACTATATTTCCCTGCTAGTTTCTTCGTTGTATCGTAAAGTTGTTTCATATTTCCTTCTCCTGCAGCTTTTCCCGCTGTCATTGCTAGTTCTCGCAAGTATTTCTTCTTGTCGGCTCTAATGCTCTTCTTCACTTGCTTGTTTGCTTCTGTGTATTCAGCTTGTGCTTGGACTTCCTCTGCTCGTGTTCGGTTGTTGTTAATTGCTGTCTTCTTGTTCTTCCTTTCTTTGATCTTGTCCACTGTTTCGATAGAGATCCATTCCTTATGATGATGTTTCTTTAGGCCCAGAACCTCTTGACACATTGAAGTTGATACTTCCTTGATACCTTCCCAGTTGTCCTCCATAGTAGTTTTTTCTTCCTTTAGTAGACCTTGTAAGGCTTGGAACCTGTTGTTGAGCTATCTTAAATTCATTGAGTTTGTCAGTATCTCGAAGGAAGGCTGTATTGAATCGTTGTAGTGCTGTTTGTCCAGTTGTCCAGTTCTTCTCTAGCTTCAGTTCTAAATTGGCCACAACTAGGTGGTGATCTGAAGCTATATCAGCTCCTCTCCTGGTTCCCAAATCTTCCATTGTCCTTCGGAACTTTTTATTGATGCAAATATGATCTATCTGGTTCTCTGTGGTGTGATCCGGTGAGATCCATGTAGTTTTGTGTATACGTTGGTGTGAAAATATTGTGCCGCCTATGATCAATTTGTTGGATGCACACAGACTTGCAAATATTCCCTCATCTCCGTCCCTCTCTCCCAGTTCGTGATATCTTCATATTCGGTGTTGTCTGTTCCGACTTTGGCATTTAAATCTCCCATCAGAATGGTGAGGTCTTTTGTTGGGCACTTTTCTATGTTGATTGCAGCCCCCCATAGAATTGATCTTTAATGTCGTCGTTGCTATCACTGGTGGGTGCATAACATTAGATAATATTAATCGTAATTCCCTCCTTCTTTGTTTTGAATGATGCTTTGATGATTCTGGATCAGTGAGATTACCATCCTGCAAGTATATTTCGTGATAATTTGGACAGCATTAGAGCAACTACCTGAGTGTGTGGAGCATTTTCCTCTTCGTGACCGAAGTATATCAGCATCTCTCCCGTATTTAGCCTGTGTTGTCCAGTTTGGGTCCAGTGTGTTTCGCTGATTCAGAGTACTTCCAAGTTGTATCTCCTCATTTCCGTTGCTATTTGACTAATCTTCCCGGTCCCACATTGTCCGGACGTTCCATGTACCTATAAAAATTGTTGCTCTGGTTGTTAGAAGGGGCGTCGGCCTCGTGGCTTCCAAAGGAACTCGGCTTTCACCATGAGGCGTCATATTTCTTCTAGATGAAGACTTTCTAACTCTCAAGGCAGAGTTTAAATGGTTTGAATTATTTTTTCTGGTTGGCGTTTTTTTAGCGAGTTAGTTTTCTATGGGATGGGGTCGCTAACCCTATGCTCAACCCCCCTCCTTTACCCGGGCTTGGAACCGGCAGTAACTTTAGGAAAGCTACAGGCGGAGTTTGTTATATAACAA